TATTTACCTTGTATTTTTCTATAGGTAGGTATTTGCTGCCTCCTTCTGGCCCTTTTTGGTAATGCCCTTGTTCCTCCTGTGAACATGATACATCATTTCCTTGTATGTAAAACTCCACCCCTGTTCTTGCGGTACTTCCTGTGTCATGGCTGCTTGCATTTGCCTCATGTAACTGGGACTCTTGTATCCCACATGCTAAGCTAAGGAAAGCATCATCTTTTGACCGCATAATACTGAAAGCCATTCATTTTGCTGTATTCCTGTTGTGTGATGTTCAGAATAAACCAGCTTTTGAATGAAACCAGTATTGGTGAGTTCAGCTATCTGAGGAGGATTGTCCGCAGTGACCGTACCTGCTTATACAGGCCAGGCACAGAGGCCCCCCCAAGGGTTAGATCAGTATCACAGCAATCCGAGTCAGAATAGTGGGGAATAATTGTATATAGAGATTGAACGTCACAAGTGACTAAAATGTAATTAGGGTTCCAGATAAAAACTATTTAAAAAGCGGAGAAGAGTTCAAGGGTTCATTAATAGAAGAAGGGTTATAAAGGTTAACAGAGTTAGAAGTGTCCATACGGTTGGGCAATTATGAAGTGTTGGTTGCATAAGTTGTGTTTAAAAAGGGTTGCCTTTCTAACAAACTTATTAACATCTTTAAAAACTTGGAATGATTTAAAAGGATTTGTTGGAGCAAATTTTAGTTCTTTTTTTTCTTTTGACATTCTTTATTTGTATGTAGTAAGGTTACAATACAGGTCAAATCGTATCAAGAGACACGGTATAACAAGTTTCGCAAGGCCCCTAAACCTTATGCCCAACAATATTTGTAGGGTTTCATTCCTAAGTTTCCTCTCCAGCCCCCCGTATTAGCCCCCCTCCCCACCCAACCCCCCCCCATCTCCACCAGTCTTGATCAGGCCTCATTTCTCCGTTTCTTAGACCTAGTGATCTTAGTGGACTTTTATGTTGGACCTGCCTTTTAGAGGGGAACACCATTCCCCGACCAACCCCGAGCCTATTTGCCTTATAAAGTGGGGCCCGCCGGAGTCACTGTGGCTTGCCTTTCGTCCGGCGTTTAGCAAGTGTTCCACCATGTGCGTGGGCATATATTGTAGTTGGCGAGGTGCAGTACCTTGTTTAGATTGCAGCGTGGGAGCGAAGCCCCTCTGGCTCGAACAGGGGGTGGTGGTCCCCCTGGGTCCAGATGCGGTCCCCGTGAGCCCTCCCTCGGTGGTATTCTGAGTCGTTCGGGTGTAATGCCCGGGGTCCGGCACCCCCCCCCTCCGATGGGTTGTTGATTTAACCTTGGCCGGGCTGTCTCCGGCCTGCCTGCTATCTGTGGCTATCATGCGTTTACTCCGGTCAAGGTCCCCTTTCCTCTCCTGTCAGTCACCTTCGCTTCGTCGTTGGGGCATGTGGAGAGAGAGAGAGAGAGTGAGAGAAGAAGAAGAAGAAAAAAAAAACGGAGGAAAAAGGAGGGGGGGAGGTGGGGGGTCCCGCGCGGCCGCGATCCAGCCTCCTCCCACGGTACTTCGCCTCCTCGTCTGGCCTCAGACGGTCCGCCCTCGGCCGCCCCCACCTCCGGTCCGAGCTGTAGGTGATCCACGGTGTCCACAGGTGAGTGCAGCGGTCTTGCGTGCCCCTGAGTTCTGCCGTAAGAATTTCCATGTTATAAAGTTCATCGACCTTCTCTATCCACTGAGTAATGGTTGGGACAACTGGCGATTTCCATCTGGCGGGGATGAGGCTTTTGGCTGCGTTGAGAAAGTGTCTGATAAGGGTTTTCTTGTAACGCCCCAGGGGTATCTGAGTGTGGTTTAAAAGCATAGGGAGGGGGTCCATGGGGATGTCTTCCCCCAAGATGTCCACCACTTTGTCATGGATCTGTTGCCAGAAGGGGGCTTTCCGAGGGCAAGACCACCACAGGTGTAATGCCGTCCCTTCGGCGATGTCACATCTCCAACACTTGTTGTCAGGGGTGACCCCCATGGCATGGAGTCGTGCGGGGGTCCGGTACCAGTGCGTCAGGAGTTTATAATTAAGTTCCTGCATTTTAGAACTAAGTATCCCCTGGTGGGACAGAACGTGTATTTGCTCCCATTGTGGTTCCGTTAAGGTGACGCCTGTTGCTTGTTCCCACTTTGCGTGGAAGTGTGCCGGGGGTCCCGCGTCTGCACCCAGGAGCATGGCATATAGGGTCGATACCCCGCGTGTCGGGTGCGTTCCCCCTTCGCATAGTGTTTCAAAGTGCGTGAGGTCTCGGTGGACCAGGTGTTTCCCCTGAAGTGTGGCATAGTACCGGCGTATCTGGTGGTACCTAAATCGTAAGATCCCTGTCTCCCTGCTCTGGCCCAGCATGTCTTCCAGCGGCCTTAGGGCTTTATTAGCACACCAGGCCCGAAGGTATTGTTTTGTTCCCTCCCCCAGTCCCTCAATATCCCCCTGTGTCAGGCCTCCCGCCAGGTCCGGGTTGTGTATCACAGGTGTCAGGGGGGCTGGGTTCGTGGTGAGCTGCAGCTTGAATCGGATGGTTGTCCATATTTTCAGTGTCGCGCCTATGAATGGGTGGTTCTGCAGGATACCATCGCATGTCGGGTTTTGCATCCATACCATCGATGGAATACGCCCCCTGGCCTGAAGCCGCTCCATATGGACCCATTGTTTGTCCGAGTCCGGGACATGCCATTCTATAATTCGTAAGAGGTGTGTCGCCTGGTAGTATCCGTGTAGGGACGGTAGGGCTGTTCCACCACGATGTCTCGGGAGTATCAGTTGTGTCTTTCTTACCCTCGGTGGTCCCTTCGCCCAGACGAATCGCAGTATCGCCGAGCCCAAGGTGTTGAAGTATGTTCGCGGGATCGCGATTGGAATGGCCTGGAAAAGATACAGCAAGCGTGGCAACAGATTCATCTTTATTGTGTTGATCCTCCCAAACCACGACACGCATAGGCGTCCCCATCTGAGCAAGTCCGCACGGAGCGTTTGGAGAATCGGGAGAAAGTTTTCTTGATAGAGTTTTGTCAGGTCTCTAGTTAACCAGATCCCAAGATATTTTATGTGCTGGTGGCACCATTTAAAGGGGAATTCTCCTGTCAGCCGTTCGACCAACTCGGGGGGTATAGATATGGGGAGGGCCTCCGACTTGTCCACGTTCAATTTGAAGTTAGAGATCCGTCCGAACCGCTCAAAGGCCGCCAGCAGGTTGGGCAAGGTGATCAAAGGGTTGCTCACGAAGAAAAGGAGGTCGTCCGCGTAGGCCGCCACCTTGTGCCTTCCGTCTCCCAGGGTGACCCCCGCAATGCGGGGGTCTGACCGCCTCAAGAAATGGCTCCAGAGAGAGGGCAAACAGGAGGGGGGGAAAGCGGACATCCGAATCGGTGTGGACAGGACCCCATTAATGCGTAGTTGTGCAGTCGGTTCGGTGTATAGAGCGGAGATCCACTGCAGTATATTCGGTCCGAACCCCATTGCCTTGAGCGTTTCGAGGAGGTATCGCCAGTCCACCCGGTCGAAGGCCTTCTCCGCGTCAGTGGAGAGGAGCAGGCCTCCGACCGGCGAGTTCCGTTGCATGTGCATGATGTTTAGCGCTCTGATGGTGTTGTCTTTGGCTTCTCGACCGGGTATGAATCCGGTCTGGTCCGGGTGGATCAAGGATGGGACTATGCGGCCCATGCGCGCTGCCAGGACCTTTGTAAACAGCTTGAGGTCTGCGTTTAGTAGAGAAATGGGTCTGTAGCTCGCACAGGCCGCCGGGTCTTTTCCCTCTTTCGGGATAACCGCAATCGTAGCCAGTAGGGTGTCCCCCGGTAGGCGTGCCCCCTCAAGGAGAGAGTTCATGCCCGTCAGCAATTCTGGTAGGAGGATATCCCCGAAGGCCTTGAGGTATCTGGCGGGGAGGCCGTCCGGGCCCGGAGCTTTGTTAAGTTGTGTGTTCTTCAGGGCTGCCGTCAGTTCCTCGATCGTAATGGGGGCATCAAGGTCTTCCTTTTGTTCTTGCGTGAGAGTCCGGTGTACGTGGTTTTTCAGGTATTCCCTCGTCAGTCTCGCCGTCCTTTCCCGGCCCGCGCTTGTCTCATCTTTCTGGATATCGTATAGGCCGGTGTAGAAGTTCCGGAATTCCTCGACTATTTTGTCCGGTACCTGCGTGAGGGCGCCGCTCTTTGTCCGCAGCTTAGTGATCTGGTTCACGCGGCGTTGTTGTGTCAGCATTCTGGCTAGCATACGACCGCATTTGTTGGAGTGTTCATAGTAATAGCGGTGGGCTTTTTTCATCATGTAGGCAAGGTTTTTCGTGAGCAGATGTTGTAGGTCTCGGCGGGCCTCACGGAGCGCATGGTACGCCTCTTCCTTTGGGGCGATTTGTGGTCTTGTTCTAAGCTGGCGACTTTCGTATATAGCTCTTGTAGCTGCCTACTGTGTTCTTTCTTCCGCATTGTACATACCTTGATGAAATGTCCCAGAATGACGCACTTATGGGCCTCCCACCGAATCATAGGGGAGGTGTCAGACGGATCGTTCTCATTGAAGTAGTGACGGAGCACCGTCGTAGCATCCGCTATGGTGACCGGGTCGTTAAGTAGTTGTTCATTCAGTTTCCATTGGCGTCTTGTGGGTTTATGCAGAGGCGAGGTCAGCTGAGCCAGTACCGGCGAGTGGTCCGACCAAGCGTCAAGTAGGATTTCACATTTTTGTAATAGATTCAGGTATTCTTGTGCAATAAAGACATAATCTAAGTAGCTGTAGCCGCTGTGCACCGGGGAGAAGTATGTAAAATCCTTGGCCTCTGGGTGCATGATTCTCCAGCAATCCGCAAGGCCCGCCGTTCTGAGTGCCAATTGTGCTGCTTTGATGCTTGCGTCCGGCAGCGAGCAGCGTCCCTGGGAGGTGTCCGTCCATGGGTCCAATGGTATGTTGAGGTCCCCGGCTAAAATTAGGAGCCCCTCCCTGAAGTGTTCCAGCGATTTTAGGGTTCTGTTGAGGAAACTGTGTTGTCGGGTGTTAGGCGCATATATGGAGGCAAAGTTGTAGCGCCTGTCTGCAATGGAGCCCTTGAGGAAGATGTAGCGTCCCAGTGGGTCGGCCTTGATCTCCGCACACACGAAGGGGACATGCGCGGCGAAGAGAATGGCCACTCCTGCCTTCTTGGCTTCCCTATGATTAGCAAAATAGCCAGTGGGGAACCGTCGGTCTCGGAGGGCCGGTCCCGTCTGTCCGCGGAAGTGTGTCTCCTGGATGAAGGCCACGGAGATTCTATTGGACCATAGTGCCTGTAGTAAATGTGATCTCCGTTCCGGCAAGTTCAGGCCCCGGACGTTGTTGGACCAGATGCGCAGAGGCGCCGGGGCGAACCCCTCTCCACCCCGGGAGGTCATGAGAGCTGGTGCCGCCGCGCAGGGGCGGGCGGCGAGGAGTCAGGCGCGGGAGAAAAGAGAAGAAGAAGGAGGAAAAAAAAGAAAAAAGAGGGGTGGTCGTAGGTAGGGGGTCGTCGGGGTCGTCAGTTGACCTACTATAGAGTAACAGAAAGAGTTAAACAAGGTGAGAACTATGTACAGTGTCAGACTCAGCTGTCTAGGTCGGTGAGTCAGTAAGGGGTGGACTGTCCCACGTAAATATGTCCCCCCTTGTCGCTCCCCCCTAGTGTGTTATACAGTGTGTCTGTGGGTACGTGAGCGTCCGCAGGCGCAGGGTTGTGAAGGTGGGTCTAAGAGTTGTCACTACCAGCTCCCCCTTAGCCCGTGCTGTCCCGCAGTAGTCCTCCTCTTTCCGGAGGATATACCTCGGTGCCTGGTCATGTCCAGGTCCCATCCCCCAGGTGGACCCCCCCCCCCCAGGGTGGCAGTGCAATTGATCTCTGCGTATCGCGGCTGCCGTTTCCAGCGTACCGTGGCCGCCCAACTACCCAAGCAGACCCTATGTCCCTCTCGTCTATGGCAGACTTTACCAGGCCACCGCTCCGGTGCGGGCTAAAGGCCCTTCTCCCCCTGTCACTTGGCTTTCCTTCCCCGTCTCGTCCCTGATTTGGGGTGTGTGCTCTATGGGCCGGTGTTGAGTGGGCTCGGTAGTGTAGGGGCCATCCCTCCTCACATCCCCGTGGAGGACATTTACTCGTCTCCCTCACGTCTCGCATGGGTGCAGTGGGGAGCTACGGGGCCTCCCGCCTCCCCTCCAGCCCAGCATGGGGGGGGCAGATTGCTAAGTGTCCCGAAAGAAATGCAGGTCCGCTCTGTGTTTTCCCCTCCCCCCTCGTAACCATCAGTCCCCCAGGACCTTGCCCATGTCCTCCCCCACTTCCAGGGTGCAGTCCCCGATTCCCTCCCCCAGTGCCCTCCCCAGTGCGGAGCTCAGGATTTAGGCATCCTGTCGCATGCTCGGCTCGGCCACGCCCCCCCTAGTTCTTTATTTAAGACAGAGATCTGAGTGGAGGTTAAAACGTTTTGGGATAAGTTAAAATTCCTAATGATTGTTCATTTAGATGGGCTGCTGACTTTCCAATTATTTCTCTTTTGTGTTCTTCTACCAGCTCTCCCTCCTCTATATTTAGGCTATTCTTTTTTGCTCTTGATGGGTAAGGTGTATGAGGGAGGGGGTTTGCACGGGTTCTGAATTAAAATGCTCCTCATTTTTGGCTTCTGAATGTATGGCTAGTACTTTGTATCTGTTTTGATGGCTGTAATTTGTCGGGAATTTTGAGTGATAAGTGAAGTCTTCATTTTTGTATGTGTATCTTTATCTAGGGGAAGTGTCGTAGTTGGTTCTCCTTTGTACAGGAGGATTATGAGTAGTAGATTTAGTATTTCTTTGAGTAGGATAATTGATATAATTGGGATGTGATTCTAGGGGATGTATTTAGATGTTTTGTGGTGTCTTTGGGATGATTGGTAATTTCTATGGTGTTGAGTGTATGTATGACCTTTTGTATATCTTTCATTAAATCTACCAGAAGGGTGTGAAGGAATGTGATGTTGTTGTCTTTCATAGGGATTAGTGTTTTGTAGGGAAGTGTGAGTATTGGGTCTTTCTTGGTTTTGATAATGGTGGTAAGTGCGAAGAGCGATACTGGTAAGTGCGAACTTGATCATATGCATAGTCTTGTTTGTTGCGGACATATTTGTTTACTTTAATGTGTTTTGTAGCCATCTCTACCTTTTCGATTTTGTTTTGTATTAAGATAGAATTCTGTTGACAGCTTGAATGTCGGTAAATGGTAGTAGTTTGTCTCTTAGGTACATTATTTCGGTACCTAACAAGGATAGTTTTTAAATTTTTTTCTAAATTAAGTTTTCAATGAGACCAAAGGTTCAAAGTTCTAATTTGTCATTCCATTCTTTCATAAATTCTTCATCATCTTAGTCTGAGGTTGGTAATTTAAAAAATCTTAAACCTCTTGGGTTTATTTGCTCATCAATGTATTTCTTAAGTGTAGCTATTTCCCACTTCAGTTTAATTTCATTGGCCAAGATGTTTGTTGCGAAGAAACGCGTTGTGGACTTTTGTTTTACTACTGAATTTGAATTATTTTTATTACTGTGTTAATAAATGTATTTTGGCTACTTTTACATGAGTGTGCCATTTTACACTTTTCGTCTTTTTACTAGATGGCCACGTCATGGGGATTACTTGAAGGCACTGTTACGGTACCTTCAGCATCAAATGTACAAACTGCCGTTTAGTGAATGCTCCCCTTTTGCAATAATCCATGCTGCATGCGTAATCAGTACAATCATGCGAACTGCCAACAGGAGAACACTGTAAACTCACGAACGGGATCCGTATGGGTGCTTCCCTTCTCGAGTTCCAAACTCATGAATCGTCAAAAGTAGCCGAACGCATATATCTCCCAAGCGGCTACTAATTCCATCCAGCAGTCTCTAGTCGGCAATAATAAATCCCCCCAATAATGAGACCAAGCTCCGCATTGAGGGTAAAACATCATCTGGCTTTACTGTGGGCTACCTGCCCGTATTTATGCAGGTCTCCCACTTGGTGGACACTCCCCTAGGGGACCAAATGGGAGACTGTAACAACAGACAGACATATGGCAAGTTAGGATCCACAGACACAGAATATTCCCAGCATGCATTAGTATTTCCTCCCCTCTGCCCTGGAGATAATTGAGAAGTAATTCAGTTATCTCCAGGACAAGGACAAATCGCCATTTTAAATACAATATAGAAAAACACATAAAAATATATAACTTTGCTTCTGTCGAATGCTACCCATTCGGATCACACATCCCCAGATAGCCTGGATCTGAGTGCACATTATTGGCGAATAGCACTCAGATCCCATACGCATAGTTTAATCGCCATGGAATCAAAGTCTATTACAGTCCTTCGGTATGCGATTGACTCCATGGGAAGGCTATCTGGGGTAAGTCCATTCGTATGTTTAAACCTCCAGAACGGCCGGTGTTTGCATCCTTCTGTCGATTGAGAAGGGGATGTCGATGGCTTCAGCGGTGTTCGGCAGAAAGAGTGTCCGTTTTCAGTTCCATGAAATATATGCCGAACACCGCTGGTCTTTTGCATATTTTAAAATGGCCGCCGCCTCGTGGTCGACATACGAACGACGACCACCCGGTATTCGGTTCTTAATTGAGAAGTGTCTGTGGTTAACCACAACGTTCTAATTGGGATCAATAGGTTAACCAGCAGCACACTTCTCTTCTGGGTGGCCGTCCGTTCGGTAGTTTCATTCGGCGGAAAAGGTCAATTCACTGAACAGAGGCATACGAACGGGTAATTCTACGAAAAGGCAAAAACAGGCAAACAGACGAATCCAGCAACCAGTCTCTACACAGATGGATCTGTCACAGGCACCCCCTTATGTGCGCTCTGCCTATTTTTATGACGGCTACGCAAGCCCCTTATGCATCTCACGCAGCTGGAAGATGCTTGACGTGCCACCTATTTTTATGATTGCTGCGCACAACCCTTATATCCCTCATGGCCATCATGCAGCTAATTATCGCTTTACAGTGGCTTGCATCCGTGCACGCCACTTATTCGCACGGTGGCCGCACACCGTCAGCTGATATTCAGTATAAGTCCACGCCGATGGGAGCTACGTTTCCCATGTGACAAAGTTCCGTGTGACGAGGAAGCGCCGAGAGTCACATGATTATTTATTTTTATTTTATCACTTTCCCACACTCGTTTTCCATTTATTTTATAACTAATTCCTTTAACACTATATTTTTAACTGTTACGACACGTACCATCGGGTAGATGAAGCCACCGTTTAGGCAATAATCCCCTTCTCCAGGAATGCAGGTTAAATTCAGCCGACCGCCAAACTCCCGAACGAAGTCCGCGAACACGGCAACTCCCGATCAGCCAAACAGTCGAACGCCTTCCACAGCTAGAAATAACGAAAGCGCTGTCCCAGTAATAATTCCCCCCACAAACGAGACCAAGCTCCGTCTTGAGGGTCAAATGAAGATCTGTTTAATGGGGGCTACCTGCCCGGTATTTATGCAGGTCTCCACAAGGTGGACACTCCCCGAGGGGACCTTGTGGAAGACTGTAAAACATATTGTACAGTAGCCAATCGCAGTGGCTTCAATAATAGCCCTTCCCATCTTGCCCATAATTCCTTCTCCTCTACCTCGGAGATAATTAGGAAGAAACCTAATTATCTCTCAAGGTAGAGACAATCGCCATCTTGGAATACAGTAACAAATTTACATTAAAATACATAACGACAGAATTACCGAATGCATATGGTTTGTGCAACGTATCCCCTGACAGCCTGGATCTGAGGGCATGTTTTCACCGAATAGCGCTCAGATCCGATGTATCTAGTCGAATCGCCATGGAGTCAAAGTCTTTCACCAGTCCTTCGGTATACGAATGACTCCATGGGATGGCTGTCGGGGCGAAAGTCCATACGAATGAACAAAACTCCCGAACGACCGACGTTCGCATGCCTTGTCGAAAAGGAAGGTAGGCAGCAGCTTTTCAGCGGTGTTCGGTAGTTTAAGTGTCCGTTTTTAGTTCCATACAGTTTGTACCGAACACCGCTCGTGTTCGTATGTCCCAAAATGGCCGCTGCCTCGTGGTCGACATGCGAACGACGACCACCCGTACGAATGGAATGGAGAGGTGTCTGCGGTTAACCACAACGTTCTAATTGGGGCCAAGAGGTTAACCAGCAGCACACTCCTCTCCTGGGTGGTCGTTCGTTCGGTAATTTCAATCGGTAGTTTTGCAAATTACACGAACAGGGGTATACGAACAGGCAATTCCGCGAACAAAGGGAAACAGACGAACCAACAATGCAGATGAATCTGTCACATTAACAAATTAATTTACTAAATCCTATTAATATCTATAATTACACAATTTTGATTGGTGGACACATTTTGGCACCATTTTTAAGTGTTCTTATCCCTATTTAACGCCCACTAGCCAGGTAGTGTGTTTTAATCCATTTGAAAAAGTCTGTTTAGACGAAACGCATTATGGATATTTAAAAATACACTTTTTATTATTATTATTTTTTTTAACCTGGCATTTTACTAATTAATACTCCAAGATATCCGAGGTTGGGATCATACCACCAACGCTGACATCAAAGAGCAGTTAGCATGCTCTACACTTGTCAGTATTATCTTATTCATTTATTACTGATATTTTATACAGTGAGCACTATCAGTTGTTTCTTTTTACCCTTCTCACGAGTGTTAGACATACCCCTGATGGAAGGCATCTACTACATATCCCATAAGCGGGGATTTTACCGCTGTACACCCCCCACACTATAGCTAGTCATAGCTCTCATAAATGTGAGTTTACTATCATCTTTTTCCGTATAGCGATTATTTTGGATTGTACATATTGCACTATTGGTTCCTTCTACTTTTCTGTCTTTCATATAAGTAGATTCACCTGGAAAAAGACACTGAGGACACTAATCATGATTAAGCATGTTACCCACAATTTGATCTGAGTGTGATCCTTTCATTTGGACTTTTTCACTATTATTTATTGGGTTTTTTTGAACTTTTTTTATCTGGAATTATGTTGTATATTGTTTTTATCTCCCAATTTTAGATTTGGCGCATCCCTTATTTTTGTTTCTAAAAATTGTATATACCTATTGGAGTGCCCTTGTGGCCTCCAATACATTGGGATGACCATACAAAGTTTAAAAACAAGATTGGCAGGGAGTGAAGGGGTTACAGTGTGGGGAGGGCAGGGGTTACATTGGGGGAGGGCTGGGAGTGAAGGGGTTACATGGGGGAAGTGCAGGGAGTAAAGGGGTTACATTAGGGAGGAAAGGGAGTGAAGGGGTTACAGTGTGGGGAGGGCAGGGAGTGAAGGGGTTACACAATATAATCCCTTCACTCCCGGCCCCCCTCCCCACACTAAACCCATTCACTCCCTGCCCCTCCCACGGTAACCTTTTCTTCCCCTGCCCCCCCCCCACTGTAGCCTTTTCTCCCCGTGCCCCCTACACTGTATCCATTTCTCCCCCGGCCTGCCCACCCCTTCTCCCCCTGCCTGCCCACTGTAACCCTTTCTCCCCCTGCCCACCCACTGCAACCCTTTCTCACCTTGCCCTCACCCTGCCCCCCACACTGTTACTAGCACACACACTCCCTCCCACACTGTCACCCTCACCTCTCCCACACACTGTCACCCTCACCTCTTGTCTCTGCGTGTATACGTATCTGTGTATCCTTTTGTGTCAGTGTGTGTGTATTTGTGTGTCTGTGTGTGTTGTGTGTCAGTGTGTATCTGTGTACATGAGTGTCTGTGTATCTATGTGTGGGAAACTATGTGTCATTGTGTGTCTGTGTGTATTGCTGTGTCAGTGTGTGTATTTGTGTGTCTGTGTGTGTCTCTGTATGTGTGTGTATATGTGTATACACTTCATACATACTCCATACAAAAAACATGCTTACATTCAAACACACATTGTGTATATGTATATTTTATAAACACAATACACACACTGCATCCACTACACACATACTGCAATCAAACGCAAACATTATATACAAACACACCCTGGCACTAAAACACAAAAATTATCTACAAATACCCCTTCATTCAAACACCAACACTACACACAAAAAGCACAGCTGCATTTCAAGTCCGACACTACATACAAACACCCATGCATTCAGACACAAACATTACAAACAAGTACACCACTACATTCCAATGGCAACCGTACATACAAATACACCCATACATGCACACATATACTTAAAACAAAAACATGCTTACATTCAAACGCTCAAACACTGCTCACAAATATAACCCTGCAATGAAAAGAAAATGTTAGATCCCCATCAGGTATAGGATTTTTGAAGTTCTCCGACAGATGGAGATCTACCTTTTGGCCACACTTGCACTAGAGGGGGGCCCAGAAAACATTCTTGCACCAGGGCTAACTCTACATTAGTTCCACCACTGGGATAATCAACATGAGGTGCCTGGATGAAAGAGCAGGACACAGCACTTCTGATTTTGAGTCGGTGAGTAAGCAGTTGTATGTCTCTAAAACAGATTGCCATGATGTGCAAAGTTACTGCCTCTAAAACTGCCATGATATCCCAGAATTATGCCTCTAAAACTGCCATGTTATGCCAATTTTATGCATCTAAAACTGATTGCCATGGTGTGCCAATATCATGCATTTGACTTTTTGCCATGGTGTGCCAATGGTATGCCTCTGAAGCTGATTGCCATGATGTGCCAAGTTTATGCATCTAAAAGTGATTACCATGAAATGCCAAGTTTATGCATCTAAAGCTTATTGCCATGGTGTGCCAAGTTTACGTATTTAAAGCTGCCATGATGTTGCAAATTTATGCCTCTAAAACTGATTGCCATGATGTTCTGAATTTATGCCTCTAAAGCTGGTTGCCATGGTGTGCCAGTTGTAAGCCTCTGAAACTGATTGCCATGGTGTGCCAACTGTATGCACCTAAAGTTGCCATGATGTGCCAAGTTTATACATCTAAAACTGATTGCCATGATGTACCAATTTTATGCATCTAAAGCTGATTGCCATGGTATGCCAATAGTATGCATCTAAAGCGGATTGCTATAGTGTGCCAAGTTTATGCATCTAAAGCTGCCATAAAGTTCCAATTGTATGCCTGTAAAGCTGATTGCCATGGTGTGCCAATTGTATGCCTGTAAAGCTGATTGCCATGGTGTGCCAATTTTATGCCTCTAAAACTGATTGCCATGGTGTGCCAATTGTATGTATCTAAAGCGGATTGCTATAGTGTGCCAATTGTATGCCTCTAAAGCGGTTTGCCATGGTGTGCCAGTTTTATGCTTCTAAAAGTAATTGTCATGGTGTGCCAATTGTATGCCTCTAAAGCTGATTGCCATGGTGTTCACTTTTTAAAATATGGATTAAAAGCAAGTGGGTCTCGAAAAATTAGATTTGGAAAGTGGGTCTCGGCCCATAAAAGTTTGGGAAGTCCTGGTCTACAGTTTTAATTGTATATATTTTTATGTATATTCCTGAGCAACGTATTCACGGCCGTTGCTATCCTTATTCCAAGGGCATAATGAGTCTGCCCACTTGATCATAATCCCTCTTGTTAGAAATCCCTTTTGGTGAAACGTGTTGTGGGCTTCTAATTTGTTTTACTACTGTGTTAATAAAGAGGAAAACTTATTCATACTTACCGTAATTTTCTTTTCCTGGCTATTATTCATGGCAGCATTTAACATATGGGTAGCTCCTCCCTCCAGCCAATAGGACAGGAATACTAATTAAAGACTTCAATTATCCCTGAGGTATAAGAGATCCCAGAATGCTAGGTTCCTCAGTCTAGTAGCAAGCTAATCCGACATAATAAATGGGTGGGAAACCCAAATGCTGCCATGAATAATAGCCAGGAAAAGAAAATTACAGTAAGTATGAATAAATTTTCCTCTTTCCTGGCTAATCATGGCAGCATTTAACATATAGGGAATACCCAAGCAGTAAATACCACAGGGAGGGAATAGATGCCCAGAAATATTTATTTGCTTTGAGAAGAACAAGAATTTAGAACCGAAAGACCAAATTGCAGGTGAGGATCTGAAGAAATGTCAAGTTTGTAATGACTAATAAACGTCCTTATCGAAGACCAATTAGCTGCTTCGCAAATGCTCTCTGGTGATACTCCAGACTCTGCAGCCCATGAAGTGGCAATCGATCTGGTAGAGTGTGCCCTTATATCTTTTGGAACTGGAACTCCTCGGACCTTAAAAGCTCTTGAAATAGAGGAAACTGTCCAGGAACGGAGGGTAGAAACAGAGGCTGCTTCACCCTTACGGGAGCCCCAAGGGACAATAAAAAGTTGGGGAGACTTCCTCCAAGGCTTAGTCCGTTGAATGTATACCAAAAGGCACCTCTTAAGGTCCAGCATGTGAAACTTTTCTTCCATCTCGTTTGACGGATTTTGAAAGTAGACTGGAAGAATAATTTCTTGATTTATGTGAAGAGGAGAGACCACCTTAGGTAGAAATTCTGGTCTTGGATGGAGAATTACCTTTTCATGGTAGAAAGTGGTATAAGGTTCTTCTACTGAAAGACCTCTAATGTCCTCCATCCTTCTAGCTGAAACTAAGGCTAATAGAAGAAGAGTCTTTTGCATTAGGGATAACATAGGGATATCATCCAATGGTTTGAAAGGCTGCTCCATCAAGGCCTGTAATACCAAAGGTAGATCCCAGGGACACTTGTAGACCCGGATCGGTGGTCTAATCCTAAGAACTGCCTTCATAAAGTGGATTACCATGGGGTCTTCAGCCCATCTGATACCTGACATGGCAGAGATAGCAGAACAATGAACCTTGAGTGTGTTCAGACTCAGACCTCTATCCAATCCAGCCTGTAAGAATCCCAAAACCTGGGAAATAGAAGGTGACTTTAAATTCATCACATCAATATGAAGCCAATCTGCGAAGGCCCCCCATATCTTATAGTATGTAGTAGAGGTAGAAGTCTTCCTGGAACGTAGCAAGGTGGAAACAACTTCATCAGGAAACCCCTGCTTGCTTAAGTATTGCCTTTCAAGAACAATGCATGAAGACGCAGTTTGTGTGGTTCTGGGTGTACTAGAGGTCCCTGAGACAGAAGGTCCCGGAAGACTGGAAGTTCCCATGGATCCTCCATCAACAGACTTTTTAGGAGGGGAAACCATGGACGACGTGGCCAGAACGGGATGATGGCTATTATTCTGCATCGTTCCTTGGAGATTTTCTTCAGAAGGGCGGGAATGAGCTTGATCGGAGGGAACACATATGCCAGCTGAAATGGCCATCTTGATGAAAGGGCGTCCTGAGCATATGCCAGTGGGTGAAATCTCCTTGACATGAAGCATGGAAGATGAGTATTCTGAGCAGTGGCCATTAAATCCACCTGTGGGAGCCCCCACATCCTTACCAGTTGTTGGAAGATCAAGCTGGATAGCTTCCATTCCGTCTCTTTCACTTGATGTCTGCTCAGGAAATCCGCAATCGTATTCTCTTTCCCAGGAAGGTATAAGGCCGAGAGACTGGCTCTGAGCCCAAATCATGATTGGCTTGATTTCCTTCATTAGTGCGCCACCCCTGGTACCACCCTGATGGTTGATGTATGCTACTGCTGCCCTGTTGTCTCTTCTCAGTTTCACCCATTGATGCTGAATGAGATATTTGAAATGTAGAAGAGCCAGAAAGGCTGCTCTTAGTTCCCTTATGTTGGAAGGAAGATGTCTTGTGTGCAGGGACCATAGTTCCTGGACAAAGTGGTCCTTTAGATGTGCACCCCAACCATCTTGACTGGCATCCGTGGTGATTATCATCCAGTCCACCTCCTTCAGAGGGAAACCTTTGGATAGGTTTTCCCAGGAAAGCCACTAGTTGAGGGATCTTTTTATATGATCTGGAATGGACATCTTCATCTCCCATTTCTGGGAGGTTGAGTCGAACGTCTGCAGGAAGTATTCTTGCAAAGGGCGGAGGTTACACTGAGCCCATCTCACTAGGCCGATTGTGAAGGAAAGGGAACCTAAGATTTTCATACTTTTTCTTGCTGTAGTCAATTTTTGGATTTGAAATTCTCGAATGCATGAACATATGTTTAGTTTTCTGTCGTGGGACAGAGACACTACTGCTGAAGCTGTGTCGAATTTTGCTCCCAGGAACACCAGCCTTCTGGCAGGCCGAAGTTGACTCTTCTGGTAGTTGATTAACCAGCCAAAGCGTTCTAGTGTCTGGAGTACCATCAGTCAATGATTCAGTAAATCCCTGTATGTTTGAGCAACTACCAGGATATCGTCTAGGTAATGGAATATTGTTATTCCCTTCCTTCTGAGCAATGCAATAACCGTCACCAGTATCTTTGAGAAGGTCCTTGGTGCTGTACTGATTCCAAACGGTGAAGCCTGGAACTTGA